TGTTTAGAAAGATAAATGTTGAGATGGCTAAAGCAAAATGGAGGATTGTTTAGGACGCGTGTTTGTTAAACAACGGCAAAATTTTGTTTACTCAGTAATCTGGCCATAGTGTTCCTTTAAGAAAACTGAGCTCAAAATGACTTTTGTCTACAACAATGATGGACAGACAGACAGACATCTATATTTATACAGGATAGCCCCTTCAGTGTAGTAAACACTGGTATCAACGGGGGTCCTGTTACCCACCCATCCCACCCCAGGGGAGGACATCCATCACACAGTAATCTCGTGCGTGGGAAATTAACGTCTCCTGCCCCTAACCCTGCAGGAGACGGGACCTCCATTTATTCGTCCCTATCCGAGAAGACTAGAATATCTAACCATTTCTTGATGTTAAAGAAAGGAAGCATATTCTTCTCAGTTAATTTTAAGACCCTGAGTGTTGGTCCGGCCGGTATTGAACTCTCGACCTCCCGCACAGCAGTCCGGCGCTCTCCCAATTGAGCTAACCAGGCGGCGGTCYTAATTAGATGCCAGTCCCTCATAGGTGTTGAAGTGTTAAATTAGATATCTATTTAGATGTCCATGCAGGTGACTTTCATATGTCTCCTTTGTTATGCTATGTTTATTATAACTTAGTTTTCCAGCTGGTTTAAAAATCCACTAACTCTGCTGTTCTATATATCCTGACTAATTTTAGCTGTAGAACTCAACAAGAAATATTCCAAAGCATTCATGAAGAGAGCAAGAGCTTATGAAAAACTGGACAGAAAGGAAGAGTGTCTTCAAGGTGTGTCGTTAATTTTAACATCCTGTATGTAACTCCATATGAAATCACAAAGCTTTATCATGCTTTGAACAACACGACCCAGAGGCGTGTAGAGCTTCTGGAATCTGTAGATATAGGGTTTGGTACCTGGGGAAGGAACTTTTTTCTATGTCCCGCAGTGTCTATTTGCTGACTAAGCCAAAAAAAATTATCATCTTTTTTATCTTGTTTGGCAGATCTTACAGCTGTGTGCATGATTGAAGGGTTTAACAATCCAAACTGGATGATGCAAGCCGATAGAGTGTTGAAAGAAATTGGAAAAGAGAAAGCTCAAGAGTACTACAAGGTAGGAGTCAATTTCATTGTTGGTGGCTTTACTGTGCTAAATTTGTATGTTGTGTGTACATTTCATATTGGTTATTGATGGATGAATTGTCACAATTCAACTCCTCCTCTTTGCAGAACAGAGAACTAAGTTTACCATCTCCAACATACACAAAAGCTTATCTGGAATCTTTCTGCAATGGTGAGCTTTTTGCAAAGTGTTATAGCAAATTAGAAATAAATAACTTGGGAGAAAAGATAAATTAATAACCTTAAGAAGTCCAAGCTCTGCTACTGAATATGGAACAAGAGAGTTAAAGTTTTGTACTGAACTTGGGCAATATCTTCCTGACTGCATTAAGTTTTGTAATTTGATTTTCTTTGAGATGACACATTGGTTGTTGATTCTGAGGAAGATTTAGCTGAGGACTCACCCTTTCTTGAAGCTGTTAAACAAATGAAAGAAAAGAAATTTGACAATATTGTTAACTTGTGTACTCAGCAAATAGAGAAAGGTGTAGTATACAGATGATAAAAACTCTTACCATTACACAGTAAAAGTACCCACATTATTATAAGGCTGTTGGGTCCCTTCTTCATCATGACATGTTCAGGTGTCCATCAGTTTTCAATCAAATAATTAACATTTGAGGCAATCCCCACTCTTCCTTGAACTTTTTCTGTTAAAATTAATAATAGAATCGCATCATTGAATAAAATCTCGCATTCTGATTGGTTAACGGAGCGAGGTATTTAGCATGGAATTGCAAGTCGAAAACGAGGCTAAGTGATATTGTTTCGCATCTATGTAAACATAACAATTTTAAGTAATGCTGTTTCTTTTTTTTCTCATTTTTATTCCGTTATGCAATTCAAGGAAAATCCATTACTTCACTCGTAAATTCCGCATTAAGTTGCACTTGAAAACCGATATTGCTCGAATCGTGAAGCGATGAGTGCGATATTGGTTCTAGCATGCAATTTAACTGGGCTCTATTCAGTAAATAAACCCCTTTGGGTGGCTGGTAGGTCGGCTGATAATGTCCGCGGCTGAGAGATTGTCCGAAAAATGAATATTTGGCCGAGCAGCAAAGCTTCGAGGACAAAATAATATGAAATTTTGAGGACAATCTCTCAGCCAAGGACATTATCAGCCAACATACCAGCAAGCCAGAATGGGGTTTAGTTATTTTATAACCCTCCCATTAATTTTCACATCGCAATTAAACTGCGCGTAAACACAGTAAAAAAGCCAGTTGTGATCTGACGGCGAATGTGCATGATTGACGCAAGCAAGCAAAAAAAAAAACCAGTTTAGTTTCCTTCCATGTAAATAGGAGAACGGAAAAGTTGAAACTCTTGTCTTGACTATGTTTCTTTTTAGGACAAATATCAACGCGGACGGGGGTTATTGCGTCATAACTGTCCTGTTATTTTGTACCGTGTGATGTAAAGTAACCAATAAAATCGCGCCAAAATTAATGGGTGGGTTATAAGACATGATAAAGCCGTGCAGGATGCTGGGAGGACACAAGGAAAGCTTCCAAATCATAAGCCAAAGGCAAGTGAGATATTAGCTTCCTGAATGTTCCCCAAACATCCTAAGTGGCTTTGTCGTGTCATAGAGTCCAGGAAAAATGCATTCCATTGCTTTTATGACATTTACTAGTTACATGTGGGCATTACAACCTGAGAAAGCATCTGCTTGAAAATTGAACTGACCAATCAGATGATGTGTACTATGATCATCTATGTTATAATACCTGTTAGAGATAAAAGCTGACGTTTCGAGCGTTAGCCCTTCGTCGGAGCGATGAAGGGCTAACGCTCGAAACGTCAGCTTTTATAACCGTAACGGTGGCCAATTTACCATTTCAACTTTGTTGATATATTCAAATTATTTCGTTACCCCCAGCGCCAAACAGTTTCTTTAGAAACTAACAGCCTTTATTCATAGTTGTGGTTAGTTTTGCATATGATTGGTTGAGAAGATGGTGCATGTTTTCTGGACTAATCACAGTGCAAAGTCAAGTAAAACCGAAAAAATCCCAGACTTTACTTTTGACACTTCTCCTTCGCTTATTTCAAGTTGTCTAAGAAAAAGTAACATGCATATCTGGGCAACACAATTTGGTACAGTTTTTTAATTTTCTTTTTTTTTTCCCTAATGACCTCTTTCTTTCATGTAGGAACTGGACCACTTTACATAAAGGCTTTGGCTTTAAGAGGAACTTTGTACACCCTGATATCAAAAGTAGATGAAGCTGTCCACGACTTGACACAAGTGATAAATGCCGACGACAACAACGTCTCAACTAAGGTAGATATGCAGCCTGATAGGTCCCCAGTTACACTTTTTGGTAATGAAGTAATTTTTATGAACATGTCCATGTTACATACCTCAAGCTGTCTTCCCATATGCCTTATGCAGCACTCTAGACCCAACTCTCAGCCAGGGTCATTGTGTTGTGTTCACAGACCGTGGCGCAAGCCAAAAATTGTACTTGCCGAAATCAAGAACTGACTTCCTGAAGCGTAGCTTCAGTTATAGCGGAGCTTCTCTTTGGAACGAATTTCCTGAGGATATTCGCATTACAAAATCTCTACGCATCTTCAAGAGAAGAATTGATAAATGGCACTCTGTATTGGGCTCCCACACAGCAAATATGTAAACCAGTAATTAGAAAATTTTACTTAAGATAAATTTCTTCTTTGTTTTCTATTGCCATACTAATATTTTTAAATAGAGATTTCAATCATTCATTCACTTCACTCTCACGGAGCCCCCCTCCCCACCCCACCCCCCATGAGAGCATGTTGTTTTTTGCTTTCCTTTTGGTCAACCTTTTTCCCCTTAATATCAGTCTTCATATTCTCCATACTGTTCTCTATCCATTTCCTAAGGTGCTGACAAGGAGAATTTGTTTAACAATCAGGGGTGTTACTGTAAGGAGAAATTAGATGTTAGTCACGCTTAGGGGTCAAAACGTTGGTTGGGAGTCACCTTCCACTTACTCATGTATATAACCATTTAAAAAATTCTTTGCTGGTATCTGCCCATCTCTCAAAGCGCGCTTAATTAATCTTTGGTTGGTTTGTTTGTCTCATACCTTGACTCCAGCCTTGTCCATGAAGTTACGCAAATAGGTATATAACCATTAAAAAAATTCTTTGCTGGTATCTGCCCATCTTTCAAAGCGCGCTTAATTAATCTTTGGTTGGTTGGTTTGTCTCGTACCTTGACTCCAGCCTTGTCCATGAAGTTACGCAAGTAGTCTTCGCTACTATACATCCATCTGAACTTCACACTTTGTCAACAAAGGATATCACTAACTCTTCTTTAATTTCAGCTAAAAGTCAACTGTCTGATCAAGAGGGGAAGCATGCAGCTACAAGCCAGTAATGTAATGGAATGTTATCAAGATTTTACCAAGGCAGTGTCCCTAGATCCGGATAATTCCGATATTTATCATCACAGAGGCCAGGTGAGTAATTATCGTGTGCTTAAATGAAAGATTCAGTAGAGTGCGCAGATTAAACTTTTGCCCGTATTTTACCTGTTTTGGACAATTTTCATCTGTGTGTGACCCCAGACACAGTTAAACGTAATATATATCTTATTGGACGTTATGGTGTGTATTGTTACTGAGTATTTTTACAAGCTGACCCGTATTTTGCCGAGCCCCGATGGCGAGTGACGATAGTCAACAATACTACACACCAAAACGTCCAGTAAGTTATTTATTATCCAACTGTTTCATTTTATGCACATTTGTTATGAGACAGGAAATGCGAAGCAGATAGAGAAGCGTAACGCGCGCAGCCAACCGGTAAAACAGGTTTCTTTTACAGTGGTAATCAGGGGTTTCATTAAGGGCCGGGCACCGGGCAAATTGACCGGCTGTGAAGACGACATTGCCCGGCTGCTTTTAACATCTCAACTATAAGGAAAATATAAAAGTTACTTTCCTATGTTTTCCTAATGTGTCTTCTAAAAAAAGTATATTTAAACTTATATAACATTAAGTGACTAGAAAGAAACACACATGGTTCGCTGCAACTCTGAGTTTCGTGCGTTAAGCACTCACCAGGCAGATTTAAATCTGCCTAATGAGTGGGGCGGAGCGTTGCGTGACGAGACTAAAAACGGCTGCGAGGGAGACTAGGCATATCTTTGCCCTTCACAAATGAGATATTGAGGTCTTCACTGCTGTAAATTAAAATAAATTAGCACATTGGATTCAGAAATCTCCGGTTCACGGTTTGTCGCAGTAAATGTCTTCAGTAAAGCCAAAACATAAAAAAATAGCAGTACTTGGGATAAATTAGTTCTTCCATTTTTTATCAAATACACGAAGTTTATTTTCTCTAAGATTGTTATCTTAGTCGGCTAGCTCTTTCAACTGGTTGCGTAGCACGTGACCAATTTCTTCCCCGCCGGCTCGAGTTTCAAGACTTATCATTACGCAAATGGTACAACCGATTCGCACTAAATTAAAGTCTGAGTTATATTCAGAAAGACATGCTACTCCTATAGTGATTGAAAATTGTCCCGAAAGCTCCATTCTTTTCTGATTTACTTTTGAAATTTGAATCTTCTGCGAGCGACGGGAACTGAAAGTCAATTTGTTGTAGAAGCTGCCAACTTTCCTTCGTCGTGTCTGTGGTGGAATGCAAAAACTCTACTCGTGTGGTAACTGAAATCTTTTGTTCACGGCAACTGTAAAGAAAAGAACCTTTTAACCCCGTGTGTTTGTTAGCTGATCCATCTTAGTAAGATTAGAAAATAGAAGAAATCTAACGCCAACACCTTTTTGTTTTTTATACTTTTATTGAAATCATATACCCTCAGAAACGAACAACTTAACAGTCGTTTACACTCACATTCCACTCTATATTTGCACAGAAACCGTGTCATCTGAGATCCCAGCAAATGATAGCTGCACAGAAACAACGCCTTCCGAGAACTTGGCAAATAATGAAATACATGATGTTACTAAAACAGCTTCTAGTGACCTTACCATGCAACCAAATGTTGCAAAAGCAAATCTAATTTGTGTGTTGACTGATGCATCAAATCATAATTTAACAAGAGCTGGTAACTTTGGGATATTAGTTTGTGCTTCAAAATGGTGGAAAATGCATCTCTGCAACTGTAGAATTTCAAACATTTCAGGGGGAGCATGCCCCCCAACCCCCCAAGAAGGCAAGGCCCTTTGGGCCTTGCAGACAGATGCCCGTCTGTGAAATCCAGATGCCCTCCTGCTCCAAATTTTAATGAAATCCCTGAGTAATAAGTAACCAACTGTCCAAAATATCGCGTGTTAGTTGTACTCGGTTTGCGCGTTACTTGCACTGTCATTACTGCAGTTGGAGAATAACTTCTGAAACCCCTTCGTCTATCTTGTCTCGTAATTGTAGCGTGCGCGTGCACAGTATTTTCTAGGTGAAACTTATAGCTGCAGTTTTTATTTGTTTGTTTGTTTGTTTATTTGTTTGTTTGTTTTTTTTACGACAACGGAAGGCTGGGGATAGAAAGAAATCTTAGGGGGTGTGCGATGATCAAAAGGAAGGAGGGGGTGGGGCGACCAAAAAATTCGTCTTTCTCTGCCCTCTCCCCTCATCGTCCACTCTACACCTAAATCATGCACGACCAGTCGATTAAAGGATCCCGAGCTTGTGACACCTCGTTCCAATAAGAAGTTTACTCTCTAGGCTAAGTTGATAGTTACTCTATTGAATACGATCCATAACGGGGTCTTGGCGTTTTCTTTCTCCTTTTTTCTAGATCTACTTTCTATCAGAGAAGCTAGTCGAAGCAAAGGAAGATTTTGAGAAGTGTATCTCCTTAAACGACTCCTTCATCCCGGCAAAGATACAGCTCGCCTACTGTATTTACAAGTCCGCTGCTCTCCAGCAGTCTCCCATCTTAGCCCACGGAGCCCTGGATATGTTGCAGAAAACTGTGGAGACTTATCCAGAATCAGCGGATGCGCACAGTCTTTATGCGCAGGTTAGGCAGGGAATTCAAGCTGAGGGGGTCGGAAGATTTTGGTTGTGACACGATAACAGTTACCTGATCTCCTCCACAAGGCTCTGTAACATTTTCATGACCCCCCCTCCCCCCCCTCCTTGACAGTTAGTCAATTTTCTACAGTCCACCCCTTTTATTCTCTGTTGGCGACGACTGATCCCCCTCAGTTCCTCCTGAAAACCATGTGATTCCCCCCACACTCTTCCCTTACAGGTGATAAATAATGATTGGTCCCTTGACCAGCGTAACCGGCGTAGAAAGCGGGGTTCAGTGGGATAGGAGGGAGACGGGGGAGAGGGGAAGGGGAAATTTATACCAAACGCGATCGTTAGGATGTAGAGGGAGGGTACTATCTTAGTCAGCTTTTCTGGCTTAAGTTACAGCTTTTTCCGGAAGCTGTCGAAGAAAATGTAACGTTATGCGGAATACATAATTTGGATAGCCAGATATTAGCAATTGACTGAGTGAATGAAAGAAAATGACGATAGTCTCTTTTCTGATCGTAACGGTCACCCCACAAAAACTTCCCCCTCTCCCTATAAGTTTGAACATGGCTAATTTTCTATGTAAGTAGCACAGAATGTTGCTGAACTTCTCCATACCTTATTTGTAAGGCTTTCCTTCTCGCAGGTACTTCAAGACATGCAGCAGTTTGCCAAAGCAGAAGAGCACTTTGACACTGCCATTAAACTAGAGCCACAAAATCCAGTTCACCGTGTTTACAAAGGGTCAGTATCATGTTGGTCTTCGTTGTTCTACTCGGTATTCAATTATGATGGGACCTAAAAAGCTTGGTGTCTGTGTTACCAATACATTTCAGGTTGCCTTGCTTCTATTCAGTAATAGATTACACTGACATGACGTCAGCATTTAGTAAAAACTAAAAGGGTGGCACACGAGGCACCGTGGAGTGTATCAGTGTTACTCTTACCACATTATGACGTCTTCTGTGATCTATTTCTGAACAGACCCACAAATCACCACCGACTTACGCCACTTGAGTTTCACAGCCAGTGACATCACGTCAAAATTGACCAATCAGTTTACACGAACCGGATTTAGTATTTTCGAAAGACAGCAACTATTTACTTGACTCTAGTGATGACTTCCGCTCAGGTTGGCAAAACGTTAATCACAACTACCGACAATAGTCCTTTTCAGGACTACACTATCGCAAAAAAAAAAGAAACAACAACAAAATCAAAATGATGTTAATGGTAACGTTATCTTTGCGTCTGTCCTCCAATAAATCATAAGTGAGGACCAATCAAAATACGTGTATACTTCATTTTTGCACATAATCTGTTTTGTAGCATGTTGATGTTGCAGTCTCGCCAAGACGTGGAAAAAGCAGTTGAGTTAGTTACGGAAGCTTTAGAAATCGACCAAAAATGCGACTTTGCGTATGAAACACTGGCCACGCTGGAAGTTCAAAGGTAACTAGTTATCGTGTGACTTCCTTTCTGAGTTACTTCGGTTTTTTTTCGTTTTTTGTTTTTTGTTTGTTCTGTTTTATTTCGTAGTTTGCGACCTTGTTCACGGAGTTATGCTCCGTTTTGACACTGTGTATTACTTGTGGTCAACTCTTTGACCACTGAGGGTGATCAGCGTCTACTTTCTCCTTACAACATCACCTCTCATTCGCACAGTAAGGTCAGGAGAATGAAAGAAATGATCTCCAACTAAAGAAGCTCTTGATTGTTAAACAAATTCACCTTGTCAGCGTGTTAGGAAATGTATAGGGAACTGTATGGAGAAAATGAATACTGATCGTAGGGTGTGATGGGTTAAGACATTGAACGGGTTGCTTCTTTCTCTCTCTCCAGGGGAAATTTGGACAGAGCAATCGACTTGTTTAACAAAGCGATCTCTCTGGTCAGGACAGAAACAGAGTTGGCGCAGACGTTTTCCCTCAGAGAAGCTGCGAAAGCACAGAAATACGTGACAGAGACATTAGGACTCACTCCACCCACTTTACCTTTCATGTCCTAGGAACTTGTTTTGAAAAGCACAGCACGTCAATTTAAGCCTGAATTTATATCTGCACTTCAGCCGTTGTTTGGTCGCGCCATGCAACCTTCAATGTACTACCCACCCCACGGGAGAGGGAGAGGGTGTGATGTTTGACGAGACCAAATACTAGCTGAGGAGAATGAATACAAATTGATGACAAACAGCGAGATGAATGCTGTCGATTTTCCTTTAGCGTGTTGGAAGTAAAAATAGGAAATCTCGCAAGTGACAAAATGATTAGGAAGGGTGACATGTTGAATTCCAATGTTAAGGGGGTAAGTTTCCAAGGAAATTGTGGTGCTGAGGAGATATTACAAAATAAATATGTCTTATTAACCAAGCGCGAGGGCCGTACTGGGAGAATATCGGCCCGAGGTCTTGACAGTACGGACTGAGCGCAGCGAGGTCCGTACAAAAAAGACCGAGGGCCGATATTCTTCCAGTACGGTCTCGAGCAAGCTTGGTTAATAAGAGATTTATTACACGACTGAAGTTCAAAGGGACACAAGTGCGGTATCATTCGGGATCATTCGGGACAGTGCCCGGTCCAATACTGAGAGAATATTGACCGGCAATAGAGCATTTTGATATGGTTGATTTTAGTTATTGGCCCTCTGACTTCCCGAGTCGTGTAATAATTTGTTTTATCAACGGATTTGACAAAGTAAATTGGCCACCGGAAAGTTTCCAAAGCTAGCATGACTGACCCTCGAAACGTCAGCTCTTGAGACTCGCTACAGAAACCAATTTTCATCATCAACTCAGTTGATTAAACCAGAATTATCGACTTCTTATACATTTTATTTTCCCCTTTTAGCCCAAAAAAAAATCTCCAATTGTTCGCAATTTTTCAAATCTCGCTTGCAAATTTTCCTAGTCGTCGATATTTGGGGACTGCAATATTCTGGTCCTCGTAATCCTTTTTCCCAGAATTGAAAATCAACTGCACTTTAAGGATTTAGGTCTGAGTCACGAATAACGAATCGGAGTTGGTCGCTTGGTTCTCCGGAGATTCGCAGAAAAAGGCGGTAGCTTGAATTACTGTAGAATTTCCCCTTGGTGGATTAATAAATTTAGCGTCTTCTTTGATGTTGTACTTCCTTGTTCTTTGGAAAAGTAATCTTGAAAAAAAAGCGTGGAAAAGATTTTGAAGGAAACTATGCTATTTTTAAATGGAGCGCGCTCAGTCCCGATGTGTAGCCTGAATTTGTTGAAGGGAATATTGACATCCAGAGCTGACATTTTCTGGGGGTGATAAATTTTTCAAAAACAATTTTTTTTTTTCATGGGGTGACTGAAGAGAAAAGTGCTGATAGTAATTCAGATTAATATTATGTTAATATTATTAACGCCCAATGACCCCCGTGTTACTGTTCAGGTAATCAATAGAACGACAGTCCAAAGGTGCCTCGTGGAATTTCCTCCCTTACTATGAAATGCATTTTAATTCACACAAATATCAAGGTACTAAAAATTGTACTATTTATTAGCCAAATCCCTGTGTTTACATTACAACTATCAAAGTACTAACACACTTTTATCAGATACAAGTTTCTTAAAATATTACAAGTATCATTGAAAGTTAAACGTGCGATGGAGGGGGGGGAGGGAAGGGATCTAACCAACACTGAATCCACCATTGATAAAGAAAAGTTCGCATGACCTCCTTGGCAACATCACAGCTCACTTAGCATTTGCTGAAGTGTTCAAGATGTAAGTTCTCCCCATAATAGGCAGTCATTGTCCGGCCACCAAACAAGTAATAAGAATACTCGGACTTCAAGTAGAAGTTATCTTGATGTAACACCAAATTCTCGTCACTAATTCAAAAAAAGACGTGTAGCAGCTGGATGGGAGAATGAAAAATCAGATCTTGGGAGTTGAAGGTTAATTCACCTCGAAAAGTCTTATCAATAACATCATCCGAAATAAAATCAAAAATCATAAAATGGCAATGGTGGAAACAATATCGAACAGGGTTATAGTTAATAGTTACGCTACTGAAAATGAAATTACGTTTTGTCATTTTAAAGACACTACAAGCTAACTTAAGTAGAAGCTGTTCTTGTTGTGGATACTAATTTTCATAAAGTTGTTGCAGCCTCAAAAAAAATCAACGCCTTTATTTTCGTCAACGCAATACATGATTAGCTGAACTTGTAAGTCAACTCAATCTCTGAGGGACCGTCAAACCTACAAACGAGTTCCATTTGATGTAGTATTCCCACTGAACACACAATTATCGCAGCTTTTTTTGCAGTTCGACCGCGTCCTTCGTGCGGATCAACTTCCCACGATTCGACCGCGTCCTTCGTTTACATGAATTTCCCGATCGAGCTCGAAGTTGGGGCCATACCAGACCTCTTCAAAAGACAAAGTTGACTTCAATAAATTGAAAATTACAAGGGCAAACTAATCTCGAAGCTAACTTACGGTTCACCTCCCAATAAATACTGTTCAGTTTACAAGGAAGTGTTTGGGTTTAAATACTGTGTCTAACTTACGATTAATTCCCTTGGTATATACTATAAAATCTACAACAAGGCTTCGACCTGAGAGGGTTTACTGGTTAGAAATGTAGGGTCTGACTTCAACTTTCCTTTCATGCTCAGATTTAACGAAGAAGAGAAGAAAAATCAAATCAATGAAGGAGGAAAATGTGTTTTTCGTGTCCCACGCGCGTAACAATTGGACTTAAAATCTTTCTTCAGAGTGAACATTTAAACTTAAGTGCGACATCTAGTGCAAATGAGAGTAACTCAGAGAGTTGTAGTAGAAGATTAGCACTGATCTCTACGACGACTGCTAATCTGAAAATAGCCGATTTTTAACAACTACGTAGCCTTTGCTTTGTGAAGAATAAACCCTCTCTTGAAAGAAGCCGCTCAGTATACTAGTACTATTATAAAAAGATTGGCGCTTTAGGCCTTAGGTCTACTTGCGTTAAGTGCATCGTTTGTGCTCTGAAAGACATCTTTTATCATATAACAAATCGCATTTTATAGATATACAATGGGAGAGTCTCAAGAGCACCTCCACCGGTCAACAGTATTGAAAGCAGTTGATAACACGGGTTTAGACCCAGAAAAGAAGAGTTTCTCAAAATGACACAAGTCAATCAGCACGCTACTCAGTAATCGTAAAACCTGTAAGTTGGGTTTTCGTATCCATTCTCTTGCATGTTAACGAGGTGGCTCTTCTCAGAGGTACCTTCTCCGTCCTCGTCGACGAGAACTGTCTTTGTGTTGTTGCTAAGGCGCGTTCGGCGCATGGCCATGGCAACCACGATGATGATCATGATGACCAAGGCACCACAGCTGAGGCCAATAACAGCAGAGAAGGTGGCTCGTGAATGGTTCTTTCTGAAGGGTCCGTTCTCATCCTCGGCGACGTCTTCGTCATCGTCGTTATAGTCATCATTATCATTTGCTTTCTTTAAAGCTGCAGTTTTACCTTTAGGAACAAAACAATAGCAAAAAATTTGTTTGTGTCACTCAACAAAAGAAGGCAACTCAGGCCATGACCTGTATAAATGCCAGGTGCGACTAACGTAAAACTTTTTCTCACAATTTCAGTGTTTGTTTTGAAGATAACTTACGCAAATAAACAAACTTGTCAGCTTAGGGGTTTTTTTTTTTATCGTAAAATTGTACCAGAATCTTCAGTAATTTACGTGGAAATTTCTATCAGCTGGTGGGGAGGAACGATTTTCAGACACTCGGGAGATTGTAACGGTTAATGCATCCGACTCACCTGGCTTCCTGAATGGTTTTTTAACCTCAGGCACATCTTCGTCAACATGTTTACCTATAGAAAAGATAGTAGGACTTAAAAACCACTTTCCTCCATCACATTCCTCAGTGATGCAGACACAGCATGCATGACACAGCACTGACTTAACTCACCTTCGCCGCCGGCCATCATGTCAGTGGCTGCTGGTTTACTTCCAACATGGCTTGGTGGGTCTGTGGGATCTTTGGCAGCAGAGCTTTTCTCCACTGTTGGTGCCTCTGTGGGCTGATCATAAAAAAGTAGCATGTATGAGCACAGGTTCTCATTGTTTGTCGAGTCCCATCTTGGGACAAGCTCAGCAGGCATTGTTACCAAAATTTCTGCGACATGAAAACTTCTCAATTATATGAAAGTGCCGCAAACTACCACTTTTCCTTTGATTACACAGCATTCCCTTGCTTCGTTTTAATAATGAGCCCACATGATTTTGCCGAGTCTTTCGATACGAAATTTCTCTTCTCACTGAATGGAAGCCCGAACCAGAAATGTTTCATTTTGTCAGATAAGGCCAGATTGCAAAATTATAAGAATGAACCTATACTTTTGCTCCCTCTCTCTCTCTCTCAAGAACTCCACCTCTCCAATACTTTCTCTCTTCAGATCGGAAACTTGTAACAATTTTTCACCTTTGCCGTCATACTTACCAGGGCAGGTGGTTTTGGGATCCAGTCTGGCAATTCCATTTGAAACTTGCGTGCGATGCCTGGCAGCTTGTACAGCAGTACCATGGACTCATTCACAAGATTATTGATACGTTTCAAGTGGTTTTGCAGAGATTCTCGGGCTTCCTCGGCTTTCTCTGGATGGTGCTTCAGCACGTAGTCAAAGTAACGCAAACTGAAAAGTAACCAAACAATTAAGGTTGAATAGGGCAAGGTTAAAGTATATTTTTCTCCAATAGGGCAGTTACATTTAAAACCACTTAATACTAAACTGCACCAGAAATCTACTCGAGCACCAATTTGCGAAGTTTTCGTCAGACGAGTGTAGGATCGACAGGAAAAAAAGTAGTTTTGAAAGTAAAAAAATACCTCAACATTTTATCTGGCTATGGGTATGATAATACGGTATACCACACTCCCAGATACAGATATCTGTAAATCCACGATGAATAAGCATAACGTTTTTTACGAAATCTGTAAATCTGTACACCTTGGCTCCCCTATTCTATACAAAATTCGCTGCAATTTTCCGCTTTATTGCTGCGAGGTTGATCTCTTCCAATTTCACGTCATAAATTTCGGTCACCAGTTTGGAGAGAGGTTGGTCATAGAAAAGTTCCTGATCCCTTCCTAAGATCATTCCTCAAGAAAAACATTTGTTTTTGACTAACTTCACCTGCATGCTGTTTACCTTAAGGTCTGAGAAAAGAGAAATATTGCTCACTAAAGAGAAACAGCACTTAACTATGCAGATATGAACTAACTAATTGAATAGCAATTAAATATGTACATGTAAATATCAACTTTGCTTTAAGCAGGAAACATCATCTATCCTTAGAATACATACATGCATACGTTAGTTGACCACTCCCCACGGGGGCTTTTCAGGGCCAATTCCCACCCATCCCACCCCAGGGGAGGACATCCACTACACAGTAATCTCGTGCGTGGGAAATTAACATCTCCTACCCCTAACACTGCAGGAGACAGGGCCTACGGTTTATTCGTCCTTATCCGAGAAGACTAGAATATCTATCCATTTTTGAATATAGAAAGGTAGCAAATTCTCCTCACTTATTTTAAGACCAGAGTATCAGTCCAGCCGGGGCTCAAACCCTCGACCTTCTGCACTACACAATCTGGCGCTCTAACCAATTGAGCTAACTGGGAGGCAGTTAAAATTTCTCCTACCTCATCCCTTCAACACTTTACACCCTAACAGCAGTATGCACATTCTCCATACTGTTCTCCATACGTTTCCTATATGGTATCTATAAGGAGAATTTGCCTAACGATCAAGAGCTCATTGAGTTAGCGATCATTCCCCTAATTCTCGTGACCTTAAAGTTTGATACAGCAGTGATACAGTTGCAAGTTAGGTGCTTATCACTCTCGGGGTAACAAGATCAAGGGCTTACTTGTGTAGACGATCCTGGGTGCAGAATCTCACATAGCGCTGTACAGCTTGCAGAATCTTGTTGTCATCGCGAGGTTCTTCCTGTAGGGCAGCAACAAAGTCACCCAATGCTTTGTTCTTTTTGTCATTAAGGTCAATCTGCGTGCACTGGTGATGCTCTTCCTTCAGTCTGGCACGCTCCAACTTGGCCTGATCTCCAAAGGAGTTCACCATCTTATTGAAGGTCTGAAGGTCCTCTGAAAGAAATAATTTGAAATCCAAAGTTTCATGTATTTAGGTACCAGATACCCGTATTTACGTATGATGCACGATCCTTCGCAGTAGATAACGCTATTTATACAATAGCGAAAATCAGACCTGGAAAAAATCAGGCCTGTACGGGACTCGAACCACTGACCTCTGCGATACTAGTGCAGCGCTCTACCAATTGAGCTAACAAGCCAGGTCAGTGGTTCGAGTCCCGTACAGGCCTGATTTTTTTCAGGTCTGATTTTCGCTATTGCATAAATAGTGCTATCTACTGCGAGGATCCGTGCGTCATACGTATTTAATACCGCAGTTCAAAATATATGAACTTCATATATTCATTATATCCGTATCTGATAGTTGTTGCTATCCAAAAAATTAAAAAAAAGAGAGGAAACAGTGGAACTTCTGAGTAAATATAAAACTGTCTTTTGCCAGTTGAATGTTTTTCATAACAAACTATTTTCATATTTTTCCATCCCAGTGCAAATTAATTTATTTTCAAATGTGCAAAACACCTAAATGCAATATTAAAGATCTGAATAAGTGATCAATGCATGAAGCTCACCTGAAATTGAACCAGCTGCTAGATCTTCATCATCCGTTTTCATCAACTTGTATCGTTTCTCAGACTTTCTCCACGTGTCAATCAATTTCTGGATTTTTGCCTTGTGGGTCTCCTCCAGTTTGTCACGTCGCTCATGATACTTCTGTCGGTCACAACCTGACAACATCAAAAAAAAAAAATATATATATATATATAGGATTACTTCTATTGAAAGACAGCTGTGCAGAGTATGTCATAGATCTGGAAAAATGGGTAATCTAGGACATCACCAATTACAATTATAATTTACCTCAGATAAACTGTTGTTGAATTTGCACAAAGAATGTAACGTTCGTAGTAGTAACCTTGGGTTAACAAAATGCATTTGATAGTGATATATTCAGCCAAGAAAGAGAAAATAGGCAATGCTCAAGGTAAAAAAAGTTTTAAGATCTGTCATATTTCAACCCTTTTAACCTTGAAAATCTCATAAGTAATTCTCCATACAATTCTCTTGATGTAAATGGGTAGGATTTGGTATTAAATTAACTAATAATTCCCCTATTGATATTTGCCTTCTTGATATACTATTGGTATTGAAAGGAGAAATTCCATCTTGATCACTCATGGAAGTTAAAGAGTTAAGAAATGTTTCAAATTACATGTAACCATCCCTTGAAAATCTTGACAACTTCCAATTTTATATTGTGCACATACTGTATTTACTCATCTATAAGTTGATACCCCATTTTCAAGGTCAAGAATTATATTTTTCATCATTTCTGGTTAAGGAAGTAAAATTCAGACAGATAAAAATTTCCTAAATAGTTAATCTCTTATTTCTGAGAATGTATTGAAAACATGGGAAATTGAAAAAACTGCAGAGCAAAATGTAACCATGTGCTGCAAAGTTTAATGTAACTTGTTTATATCACCATGATTTAAGCAAACACAAGTACTTCGATTTATTAAACAAGTACTCTACCATATTTTTTAAAATGCATTGACAATGAAGTCATCTTGCTATAACTGACCTTTATCTTAATTTTGAGTTTGAAAGGAGATTTAGAGGTACAAAGTTATGAACACCGAAGAACTTCAAATGATCACACATAACGAACAGGACTACATGACAAAAGCATTTACCACGTCACCAAGCTTCTGTAATCATTCGGTGAAAACAAAAGTTCTGCACCGTACACAGCAGCCTTTTTTAAACTTGGGTTTTCCTGATAGACTTCTGGAAATCATAATACTGAGATTGCTAGGGTCAGGTCTTTGTGTATGACTCATGTACAAGTCAAGGGTGATTTTTTAGGTGGATTGTTTGGTCACAAAAGGTCAACTTATACATGAGTAAATATGGTATACATGCCTGTCTGTAAAATGATACTGCCTGTTCAATTTACAATCTGAAACAATATACACCCTGTAATAAACCCTCCACTACATACCAATTGTGCTTCCTTCGACATGCTTTGCAAACTTGCTGATTGCTTGTTTCAAGTGTTCCAAAACACTGGTTGGCTTTGATGTGCTAACCACCTCAGAAATTGGTACAATCTTAGCAGCATCAGTAGCCACTTCTTCACTGGCATCTTGAGGACAACAAACAAACTCCACGCCAGTAAACTTTCCTGTACCACATGGAATGAGGACACCGTAATCCTTCACAATCATGCCTTCATTCTGGCATTTGTCTGAAGCTCGGGTGTGCCACTGGTCATGAGAGAGGCAATTGCTGTTGTCATGCATGTGCTCGAAGCGGCATTTTGGAGGCACCAGTAAGGCATCAGACTCGAAAGGGCCAACTATTGATAAAGGAAAAATTATCTTAAATGAAACTAATTGACAAAAATTACACCATCCACTAACTGTTTCCAAAACTACACATCTTATTCCACTAAAAAGCTTCTTTGAGGCTTTCTCACACAGGATCAATCATTCCTCAGCACACGAAGGGCTCTCTTCTATTCACCATTTCAAGTTATTGCTCCAGTCCGAGCATGATCAGCACAATCCTCACAAACTTACCAAGACAGCGATATGGAGTGACAAGGCTGCCATCCACTAACACCTCCTTATTACCCTCGACAACATTCCTCACATCTTGTGATGGGTAAATGGCCTTACAGTACCTTGTAACAAAAAGACATTTAATATAATAAGTGTAAGAAGTTTGGCTGTAGTACTACATGTATAGCAATACTTTCCTTCTTTCTACTTTGTTGTTGTAATTACTTAGTTTAAGTTTAATTCATTTTGCCACAAGAATGGCAAGAGAAAGGAACAGAACTTTCGTTCCAATTGACACCTAACCCCTTTTTTTTTACCCATCCATCCCCCCCCGGGGAGGACATCCATCACACAGTAATCTCGTGTGTGGGAAATTAACGTCTCCTACCCCAACCCTGCATGAGACGGGACCTCCATTTATCGTCCCTATCTGAGAAGACTAGAAAGTCTAACCATTTGCAGATATTATTACAAAGGCAGCACTTTCTTCTCAGTTATTTAAAGACCCTGAGTGTTGGTCCGGCTGGATTTGAACTCATGACCTCCCGCACAACAGCCCGGCGCTCTACTAATTGAGCTAACCGGGAGGCGGTACTTGGGAGTTTGGTTTTATTAAAGTAGATCAAAATACACTCTCAACCCTTTTACATCCTAACATTAGAAGAAAATTCTCCATTTTCTCCTCTGTACATTTTCTACGGTGCTCACAAGAATCAGTTTGAGAATCAAGAGCTTCTTTAGTTGGTGATCATTTCCATAATTCTTGTGGCCTTTACATTTGATTCAAGGGTGATATTTTAAGAAGTTAGACATGCTAGTCACCATTAAGGCACGATTGCAACTAAGGAGATAATTACACTACCAGCTGAAATTTCAAGCAAGGCGGCTCAAAGGTGGGGAATGCTCGTAAGCGTGTAACCTCGGAAGTGCCTGTTGTGCTTTGCCAAGTGATCACTGGCAAAAAATCCAGCCAGCGATGGCGTCTTTTTCATCTGGTGAATTTCACCAGCAGTTGGTGCCAAGGGACAACCCTATTAGGGTTTCAAGGATTAGTGACTGTATCAACATTATAACCTAACTTCATATTCTCACTTCAGGATTTCTTGCATAGTTGTGGCACATAGACTAGTGCTGTTCTTGTCTGCTTCCCAGCTTCCAGTATTGACATCCATGTGCCTGGTCACTTTGCCACACTTAATGGCCACTTGGGGATCATAGTCTAACTCATCATAATTTGAATTTTCCACAAGTGCGCTACCAACCTAAACCAACACAGTGTAAGGATTAAAGATATTTTTAATCAAGCGTCAAAGGAAATCGGGGATGGCTATGGTTTTACCAAGTAACTTTACTCAGTGATTGGTCCAGAAAGCTTGCACCATCCTCCCAACCAATCAGATGCAAAGCTACCATAATTTCCAGCCGTTTACCCGCGGGTAATCTGTTGATTTGGCCTTAAACACGCACCACTGCGGCGGGTAATTGGAAGGTGCGGGTTATGTGACAATTTTGAAATCTTCTGGCAGTTGAATTGAAGAAAATTCTCACCTACCTGCGTTTCCACCTCTCAGATTAATTTTATTGTATTAATTAAGAATGCCACAAAGTGGCACGAAAACATGATGCCGACTCAAGTTTATTTCATGCACAATTAGTTGCGCGACGAGCAAATAACTATCGGCACGCGTGTAAACAAAACCTTGATGGTCAAAAATAAACTAAGGATAACCGGCACATCAGTAACAAATTTCCAGTTAACACTAGCTTCAGCTGAAGAGAATTTTCCCGTTTTAAGGGACTTGTTAGGACCAGTAGAACCAGAGATATCAATATTTTTAAGAAATCAACATGGCTCTGAATGATCATTCGCACAAAATGTGGCCACGAATTCGCATTCTGTCAAGTATGCAACGTTGTGAATTCTAGAGCACATTTGTACAAATTTCCTTTGTTTTTAAGGTGTGGGTTATCCACTAGTGCAGGTAATCTGTTGACTTTTTTTTCGCTGCATGCAATAATCGGCTGGTGCGGGTGATCGGCCGTGCAGGTAAACAGCCGGAAATTATGGTAAAAATGATCATGACTTATTTATACACACTTTTTCATGCTTTGAACAATTTGCACATTTTCACTTTGTCAACCTTTGTTCTAATTGGTCACTGAGATTACTTTGGTTTTGTTTAGTTCACAATTAATTGACAACTGCCCCAGTTTGCTTTGCAAACAGGGTTTTCATGACAAAAGTTAGTAGTCAGAGAAAAAATAAATAAAATAATGGGAGAGAATTCTAAATGCCTAAATTTAATTAGATCAGGCCATCTAAATGTCGCTGGAAGGTTATTTGAAACAAAAGGGTAATTCTCCAATCTTTGATACTTAATGAACAATGTTCAGACTCCAGTTGTTCAAAGAGCGGATAATGCTATCCAACGGATAAATTGCCATCCAGGGGATAAGTGTTGCCAAAAGGTACTGTGCTATCCACCGGATAGAGATTTATCCACTGTATAGCGTTATCCATCCTTCGAACAACCGGGGCCTGGTGTATATACCAGTACCAATAGATGTATGCCTCTAATGCATTTTGAACTGAATGTAAATGGCTATTTGATTGATTTACACTTGGTACACCATAACTGTGCAATGTTTTTCCTTATTTTACCCACAACAGGTAATGGAAAGTTTCAAACCGGTACAGTACAGCTCAGAGGTACATGACCAATGCACATGCAAAACATTTGCCCATTTTTAGCATTGCACTCGCAAAAGGGAAAAAAAACGCACTTAAAAACACATGTTTTAAGTGCGTTCTTGCTTGGGTTAATCAATGCAGACAGCTTGCTTTGTTCTGCATTGTTTTGAAAAATAAAAATTTCCTGTTTCAAAATGTGTCAAAAGCAAATCTTTGACCTGTTCAAATTTCAAGAGTTACAGGCAGTACACTTTACCAGATACCATCTGCAAGAATGCACACTAAGTGCAGAAGCACTTCCTTCAAGTATAAATTGTCTCCTACAAACCAATTAATTTTGAAAATTTGACACACTTGTTCTAAATTCAACAAAAACTAGTACATAACATTATAATTTTATGCCATATGTTCAAAAAATTTTCCTTGACAATGACAAAGAACATACGAATGTATAAATAAATCACTGACAATGGTTGCTTCATGAGTACTTAAAAAAAAAAATGTGTTGAGTCAGTTTACATCCCAAGATGAAAACTTTAGACAATTGACCCCCTACAGTTTACATGTAGACCAAAAAAGAACTCATCAACAGAAAACAATCATCTCAAATTCATGCAGAAAAGAACAGTCATACCAATCTCTAAAATCAAAGTCTACCATTTTTACTGCTAATTTCTACCCTTTAGTATCCACAATTTGAAAAGCCCTTTCCCCGAGAGAAATTATGAAACATTTTCTGCTTGGCCAAAAAAATACATGTAAAGTAGAAATTGCAGATATTAAATGGAAAAATTACCAGGTCTGAAAGAAACACTGGACAAAAAAAACTATTACATTAATTAAGAAATACAGAAAAATTATTCTCAAAGGAACAAAAATAATTGAAAAGAGTTTAGAGATATCAATAATTTATTACAACTCAGCCAAATATATCACACAGGGACTGAAGAAAGCAACAAACTATAACAATGTCCTTGAATCAAACTCCTCTTTAAGACAGAGGTTTTTTTCAACAGTCTGTCACAGAGTTCCAGCAACCTTTTCACACCAAAACTAAGGAGTTAATTAACTGGACTATGAACCACAATGTAAAACCTAGGGATCTGCTTTGGGCTTTAATTAACAAACACTTGGTTGGCACACGAGCCTATAAGGTAGATGTTTTCATGAAGGTAGTCTGTACAACTCTGCATGAACCAATTCAACCCCTGCATCAAAACAGTGTAAAGATAAAATTCAATTCAAATATTCAAAGTGTTTTGACACAAAAATATTCATCCAAGAGAAATCGTTATCTACTGGGACTGAAAATACAGAGCAGAAAGCCAATGCATATCTGCACATTCACACTCCAAAGGGTTTCATTAAGTTGGGATTTCTCCCTCAAAGATTTTTCAATTTTAAGTATACTGTTCAAACCAGAATTTGCTGTAATCAGAAAATCTAGTCATTTTCAAAGGAAATTCAATATTTACACGTTCCCAATTTGCTGGAAAAGTATGTTTTTCTGATCACTGCAAATGATAAATTCTTCTGTTCCCAAAAGAGCCCTTGATGTTATACTGTCAACAGGAGACCGGTGTGAACTATCATCTACAGTGACGCTTCTGTACTTTTGTAATTTTTATGAAGGGAAGTACTAGCAAAACTTACAGCAAAACTGACAGCACGCATATCTATAAAACTGTTATGGAAAACATCCATTTATGAATACCGAGTTTAAGTTTTGTCAATACAACTTTTCAATTCAGAAACACATTGTTTGCAATCGAACTGTCTGTGATATCAGCTTTTTTGTCTTGTATTGCCACCCGAATCTCAATACTAACAAGACTGTTTCCAACTATTTCCTTGTAAGACTATAGTAGACACGTCTTGAACTAACAATTACATGCTTTAGTTTGTTGCTTGACTAAAATCGTTTCTAAATCGTTGTAATATGATACAAGAAGGTACAATCATTATGTCAACAACAACCGACCTTCGTCCGCTTCGACGAATCCTACACTTATTGAAAACTTGTGAGTTTTTTTATTACTTCGACATTCCTCTCTTTGATAACTCCATAAAGCACGAGAGCGGTAGATGTATTCCAGTAATAAAACCTTGTTCTAACAATGTTGAATGGGTTATTAATTCAAGCTCGTTTCGAAGGTTAGACACATTATTCAGCCAAATGTCGATCTTCTTTAAAATATCTCACAATATTTTTCGTCATCGTTTCTCGAACACGAACGAGATAATTTTGTTTCAAACATTACTGGTAACAGTGGAGAGAGTGAGAAGAAACGAGAAGATTACAAGTCATTGCGAAAGGGCGTCAAATTGATATCTGCCTCGCAAGTCGAGGCGATTTGTCGAAACGGGAAACGTCTTAAATCAGAAACATTCAGTTCATCATACATTTTAACCCAAGCAAACGAGTGACTACCAAACCACAACTTCGACTATCGATTGAAAAATATTTTTGAATGATTTGGGGAAGTACAGACATGGCACATTTCGAAGTGTTAATCAAGTCCATTTCGTCGGGGCCATCACAACTAAAAATTCATAATGTGTAAGCTTCGAAAATTTCTTTCTCTTGGCCTTTGAGTCAGAGCAAACTACAAAATACACTTACCGTTACGAAGGTCAGACACAAGAAAATCGTTTTTCGATAACTCCAATCCATTCCCTAGTCGTAATTTCCTTCAAAACTTCAGTAAAACTCGAAAACAACTCAAAAATGGCTGATGACTTTTATGGCTCAAACGTGCAAGGGATATGCAAAAGGAACTTATCACGTGATATGCAAATAAGCCTATATTTGCATGACAAAAGTTTGCGGGGACGTGATTGGTTGCTGGGAGTGATGTTCTACGTTATTGGTGGTTAATAAGGCAGCTTCTTTGTGGCTGCCGCAGAAACCGACAAAATATTGGCTTTTTATATATTCATATATTCTGGACTTTGCTTCCAATACAGCAATGGCGTCATTGTATTCTAACAATAGCCTTAGCTTGCAGAATAGAGCGCGCACAAACAAAATCGACTTGGTGCCACTTCTGCTGGTACAAATGTAAAACAGAAGTTATTTGGAGAAGTTTTTCAAGAAGGTGCATGAATCCATCGAGAGATCATGGCTGCCAAAAAAGAAAGTGTGATTCTCGTCCGGTAAAACTGATGAATAAATACGAGGTTTTTAACGCCCGGAAATGACTCATTTTGGAAGGGCTGTGAGGAACTATCTCTTAACTCTTGCGCCAAAACTTCAGACCCATTCCACCCCTCACGGAAAAATTTGAAAAATGGCGTTTTAAAACACAGCAAAAGTTTTTTTCCACACTTGGGAAACAGATACATTGTTCCCGTTTACTTCACACTGAATAGATTTGAGAACGCAAAAATTAGCGGCGGAAGCCGAAGAATTTAATGCATCCTTGGATATATGCATAACAATGATCTAGCCAGCCCGCAAAAGATGAAAAAATAAAATAAAATAAAATAAAAATAGAATTAAATAAAACAAAGGAGCAGCGCCTTCAGCATCTTCGAAGGTCTCCGTTCGCAGTTCGGATGAGGGGTAATGGCTGACCAAACCATGGAAATTGTAGTCAGTCTAAAAAATGTTTCTTTCCGGCAAACAAAAACATAAAACGAGCGTTTTTAATATGTAGCCGGTAACTGAGAAGCGTTAGAATGGCCTATTGCTGGACACCATATACACAGAGAGACTAGAAGTACGTAAGCACGATCACTGACTTGTTTGTTGAGCCGAGCTGGCCCTTGCAAAATCTCGCGTCTCAACCTTTCGCGAAACCGTTATCCGGGCAAATCTTGTTGCTTCATGATTAGATAGAATTAATATATGAAGTTCACATATTTTGAACTGCGGTATTAGATACGTATGATGCACGATCCTCGCAGTAGATAGCGCTATTTATGCAATAGCGAAAATCAGACCTGAAAAAAATCAGGCCTGTACGGGACTCGAACCACTGACCTCCGCGATACTAGTGTAGCGCTCAACCAATTGAGCTAACAAGCCAGGTCAGTGGTTCGAGTCCCGTACAGGCCTGATTTTTTTCAGGTCTGATTTTCGCTATTGCATAAATAGTGCTATCTACTGCGAGGATCGTGCATCATACGTATGCTTCATGATTCTTTCGTCAGGCTGCCATTTTGAAAAAATACCTTGGTAACCTGGGGCCCGTTTCTCGAAAGTCCTGTTAACTTAAAGGGTCGTGAAGCTGTTCTGTTTTCATTTAAGATGAAGGTTTAAGAAGTTTTGAAATTACACAATAAAACGCTCCGCTTTAGAAACAAAATGGACTGGTCAGGGAGCCAGAACCTGCTTTCCTATCCTTTAAATTTTGCTTTTAAAACATGGCTCCGGGGCCGTTCATTTACCGGGACTTTAGCGAAGCGGGCCCCTAGCCGCATGTGCTTAAATTTCACGTCACAGGGTTCAATAGGAACCAAAACATGCAGTTGATGGACAACTGTTCCTTTGGTTATTGCAAAAACGCATTATTTGAGTTAACAACGAGCCTCTCTGCTTAATTGACAATTGTTCACACATCTTCAATTTGACAATTTGTTTAATTTCGAGCGCGAACATAGATTGTTCAAGTATCACCAATTTTTATATTATTTACAGCACTGCCGGATATAATCCTCCCAACATCTCAAGAGATAAATTCAACGGTATTGTTGAGACTGCAAATAAAAATAGGAGCAGCTGATTCTTATAGCATTCAATTTCACTTCACGCTGTAAGATCACGGATTGCGACTACTTCGACTTCGGTGACACAGAGAGAGCTCAAGACTTAATCGGACTGATACAGGTAATTCCTCTCGAATAAAGTGAAAGAATAGAAAAATACTTGATGTTTGGCAGCAGAAAAAAAAAAGCCTCCGCTAGCTAGGCACTAAGCCTTAAAGATCCCGCGGAGGCTGGGCTTTGGAAGAAACAATCAAGAAAAGAATGGAATGAATATTACTTTTGTGGAATGTAGCTAGGACCGTGACTCTTTCTGTATGCCGACTTTGAACCGCCTAATAACTTCACCTCTAAATCAAAAAGCGAGTTGGCAATCACTGGAAAAGGATAAAACTACAACTAAAATTATTTATCGAAAAAAAAAAAAGAAGAGAAAGGGTAGGTCTAGGACAGGTGCAGTCGTGACATGTTTAAGTGAAAGCCAAGAGGGAAGATATCGCGGTTTTTGCCTCAGTAGAATCAGGCTCTAAAGACTCCGACTTGCATAGTAAGTGAAGTTAGTAAAAACGGTTGTTGCTTATTTTCAACACAAGTAGTCTATAGACGCAGAACATTTGAATTTGCTCAAACTTTATTTGATCAGTTTATTGATTTCGCTTAGTGTTCTGCATCCAATTGGTTGATGTCAAAACCCCGTATTTCATCCTGAATCAGGGGGGATAAAAAAGCTTTGTTTTCATCGGGTTCTTTGATTGCGAGTTTTAAGATAGCATCTGCATAACCATTATGAAACACGTTTGTTTTGTCACTAAGCTTCGCAGCAACTTAGCTAAGATCAAAGGTATTTCACTTGTACAGAAGTTAACCGTAACCTCCTGGGAAAATTGAGGAGAGAGACCGCCATCGTTGAAAAACTCAGAGAACACTTACAATGAATATATGAAGTTCGTATATTTTGAACTGCGGTTGTAGATACGCATGATGCCCGATCCTCGCAGTAGAGAGCGCTGTTTATGCAATAGCGAAAATCAGACCTGAAAAAAATCAGGCCTGTACGGGATTCGAACCACTGACCTCTGCGATACTAGTGCAGCGCTCTACCAATTGAGCTTACAAGCCAACTGGGAGCAGGCCGTTAAGTTGATTTGTAATAAACCCGTGATGATAAATCAGATACAATATATGAACTTCATATGAAATATGTTTATTACGAATCAACTTAACGGCCTGCTCCCAGTTGGCTTGTTAGCTCAATTGGTAGAGCGCTGCACTAGTATCGCAGAGGTCAGTGGTTCGAATCCCGTACAGGCCTGATTTTTTTCAGGTCTGATTTTCGCTATTGCATAAATAGCGCTCTCTACTGTGAGGATCGTGCATCAAACGTATCAGAGAAAACTCTTGAAACTGTTATCACGAAGAAAAATGAAAAATCTATCCGAAGATGGAAAGCACACCAGCATCCAAGCAACATTTTGCACCACAACCTTCTATGGAACGCCACTGCATCTGTTTGTTGTCGCGCTGAATATCTGCTTGAGCATAACTGCATTTACATGGAACGTTCTCATTCTCATGGCATTGCAGAAATATTCAGTTCGCTGAGGCGGATCCAGGGGTGGTTCGTGTGGTTCGGTCGAATCCCCTAAATTTTCCCTCAGAACGCTGGAAATCATGTTTCCAAAGACCTAATTTTGAAAATCTCAGGCCTCTCAGGAGGGAGACAATTCTCCGAACCTCCCTTGACTAAATCTTGGATCCGCCCCAGGTTCGCCCACCTACGAAATTGTTATTCCGCTGTCTCGCCACCACTGATCTCTGCGTTGGTCTAATTTCAGAGCCATTCCACGTTACTCACCTTATGTTTTCACAATCTCCTAACATTTGCCGTCTTATGGGAACACTGACCAGTATCGCAAGTGGAATATTTTGTGGGGTGTCATTAACAATATTAACCGCGATAAGCATGGAAAGGCTTCTCGCCCTGTTTATGGTAATGAGATATAGGGAAGTGGTGACTCTGAGACGCGTTCGTATTCTGGTAACCATACTGTGGGTCTCCTGTGGCATCAGCTCGGGGGCGGTTTGTCAGTCGTTGGTAATTATGTCGCTGTAGGAATAGTTAGCATCGTGGTGCTGTGTTTAATAATCTCTGTCTTCTGTCACGGGTAGATTTACTGCACTTTCAACCGACTCCAGATCCAGTTGGCACGCAATAATCCACAGGAAAAATCCAACAGAGCCGGAAGAGCAGTTCTCCTGAGCACACCACGATACAGAAAGACAGTTTCCTTCTCGTTGTGGCTGCAAATGGCGTTGGTGACTTGTTATCTTCCATTTGCAGTCGTGGCAGCTTTGTTTGCTTTCATCGGAGCACATTCACCAACTCTTGATTACGCTTGGCATGTGGCATTTTCCATTGTTATGTTCGACTCAGCTCTAAACCCAATACTTTACTTCTGAAAGAACCAAGACGTAAAGACACAATCAAAAGAGCTGGATTGTTTTAGATCAGATTGATTGACCTAACTGGGGTGGAATGGCTGAAAAATGTGCGCATATGCCCTTAACTCCGAAAACTGATCATTATCTATCGCCGGGAAATGGGTGGGGGGAGGGAGGTTAGAGGATTTTGGTTATGTTACCTTAAAATTTACCTGACCCCCTCCCCAAGGTTCTCTAGTATTGTTATGACCCCCTCTCATTGTTAGTTAGTTTTCTATATTCCCCCCCCCCTTATGCTATATTGGCGACGACTGACCACCCTCCCTCCGTTCCCCCTTAAAACCATATGATCCCCCTCCCCCCAACTCCTCCGATTTCCCTCCCCAGGTGAGAAATTTAACTGGATAATGACGGATAGCTTAGTGGGAGAAACTGAAAATAGAAATCTGTTTCCATAGTAATCGGTAGCACAACTAGTTCTTGCAATAGTCCATTTTACCGTTGTGTGCTTGGTTGCCAAGCCTTTGAGCAGGAGTGAGGCTAGAGATGACCTTGTTATGATACAAACCTTGCTGCCTTTCAAATGTAAATCACTTTGTTATCATGCTAACTAGATACAGGTCTCTATCACAACAAGGTCATCTTTAGCCTCACTCTGAATCAAAGGCTTGGCAACTAAGTACACAACTGTAAAATGGCCTATTGGGCAACTTGTTTGGCTATATAATTCTCTAGCATGGAAAGCTCAGTTTCAAAATCTTTTCCGTTCAGGAGCAAAAATCGCAAAGCCGACGTTTATAAATCTCTCAGATTTTAAGAAAGTTTTTCAACGTTTCCATTTTGCAGTGGTGGATTAGTGCAAAGAGAAAGAAAAACCCAAGAAATCAAGCGGTATCAACAAATTTCCCTCTTGACACCTCTCTTAAGCAAGCACTCCCTCTTGAAATTTTCAACGGGACGCATTTTTTATCTGGTTTAATTTCCAACGATGTTAAAAGAATGGAAGAACAAGCTTTCGTGCGGTTTTTCGGATTTCTCTTTGCGATACTTGAAGATTTGGGAAGAATTTTTCTACTTAACTACTCGATTGTTTGGAAGCTGTTACAGCAGTCATCTTCCTTTGTTTTCTCAAGTTGTGCCACATTTCGCCGGCATGTCCTGTATTAGCATCGAACTGCGTCTGCGTAAAGTAGCAGAGTCTGATCAACGTATCTCCTTGATGAACTAGTCGGTTTGTGGGGTACCTAGAAGATGTGAATAATTCGCGAAGGTGAGGAGATGACAAAAAAAACCATAGTATAACTGTTTCCAGGAGCAGATTATTGCTGCTTTACTTAGTGTCTTTCTCGGCTAACTTTGTCCATCCATCCATGATCCATTCATCCGTTCATCTATACCCGAGTTTCCAATACCGAGCTGCATATATCCCCGGTTGATTTTTCAGACATGCGATCAGAGCCATCCACAAGAAGAGCATCCTTCACTACAGCTTGGATGGCTTGTTTTATAGTACAATAGCGATAAAAACGTAACCCTGACGTCAATCTTTACTCTGCTCTGATTGGTCAGACCATCTAACATC